CCTCTCGGCAGAGAGGGGTCTTCTTCGTTGCTGTACTGCTTTTGCCGAGGGGTCCACCGAGAGGCGGTGGGTGATGACCCTTCGGCTTATTCCCGGCATGTCCTCCGGCCCCCATGCAAAGACAGTGGAGTAGGCGCGGAGGGCGTCGGTGATACCGGTCTTCAGATCTTCAGGAAGCTGGGCTCCAATCTTCACGACTCTCTCCGGCTGGGCCGGATCTAGCGCAAAGTCTTCTACGTCCTCGGCTGGTTCAGCCCTCGGCCTTTTTTCTTCTTGGTCGATGGTTCCGGTGATGGTGTCAACACGGAATTCCGTCTTACTTACCTTCTTAGTGACTTGAAGATAGCAGGCGCGGGCGATTTTCTTATTCCCTCGGGAGTAGCCAATGCCCCCCTCGGTGGGAAACTTGAGGCAGAGGTGCCTCATGGAGATGATGGCCTCGAGGTCCTCGAGGGCTGGCCGACCGAGGATGATGTTGTGGGCGCAGTCGATGTTGACGACGACGAACTCCACTTCGAGCTGGGCTCTATGGAGCCTGTCGCCGAAGATCACCCGGAGGGTTATTACCCCCTCGGAATCAATAGTATCGCCGGTGAAGCCGGCAAGAGGGGTCTTAATGGGCCGAAGGGACCCCCTCTCCAGATGCAGCTCTCTGAAGGTGCTGAGGTACATTACATTGACGGAGCTGCCCGTGTCAATGTAAGTTCGGTGAATGATGGTGTCGTTTATTTCAGTCTGAATCACCAAGGCATCCCTTTGAGGAGAAGAAGTAAGAGGGAGATCTACGTTGGTGAAGGTGATGGGTTCCTCCCTCAGTCGCTTTACCGGGGGCATATGAGTGACCTCCCCCACGTAAAGCGATTGAGCCCACTTCTTCCGCTGGCTGGTGGAATCGCCCCCTGTATTGCCACCGGTGATCATGAGGATGTGGCGTTTTTTCTCCTGGTAGGGGGGGTACTCCTCCTCTTCCTCCTCCAAGTTTCCGATCTCCCTCTTCTTGCCGAGGGGGATGGTGTTCGGGTTCACCCAAGCGTTTACCTTCGTGTGGTGCCCTCGGGGAGGTCCCTGATGAGAAGGCCCCTCCTGCCGAGGGCTCTGGATAAATTGGGACAGGTGCCCCGCCTGTATCAATCTCTCGATGGCCGTCTTTAGCTGATGGCAGTCATCAGTTCTGTGCCCCTGGTGCCGATGGAAACGACAGTAGGGGAACTGAGGGTTGATAACATGTACCTCTGGGGGCGCGTGAGAATCGCGCTCAACGAGGCCCCTCTCCTCGGCAAAATCAAGGATGATGCTGACGGGGTGCGTCAATGGTGTCCGAGGGCGGTCCAGGAGAATGGGCTGTGCCCAAGTCTTAGGGCTGCTCTTATTGCCTCCCCCGGGCTTGGCTTGGCCTTGCCGAGGGCGGTCATCAGAGGGTCCTGAAGCCTTGGGATGATTTGGAGGAGCCCCCGACCCTCGGTTATTTTTGTTGTCAGCCCTCGGGGGTTGCTGATCCGGATGCTGGTGATATTTCTCCACCTCCTCGGCCTCAGCATATCGGTCCCCCCGCTGCAAAGCCCTTATGTAGTCACGGGGGGGGGGGGGGGGGGTTCAATGATGAGGCTCCTTGAAAAGTTGCCGGTGCGGAGGACGGTTTGTAGGAGGGCCAGGAGGGTCCCGTCATCAGCACCGTCGACTTTGTCGGCTTCCGTCCTCCAGCGCTCCAGGAAGTCCCGAAGGGTCTCATCCCTCTTCTGGCGTATGGTTAGGAGGTGGGAGAAGTGCTTCCTCGTGCGACGCCTCCCGGCAAATTGTGTCAAGAATCGCTGGGCGAGTTCTTGCCACGAATCGATGCAGTCCTCGGGCAACCGGTTGAACCATTCATATGCCGGCCCCTCTAAGGTGGAGAGGAACCAACGACACAAATATTCGTCCGACGCCCCCACCATCATCATGCTGTTCTGATATTTGCTGTAGTGTTCCTGGGGGTCCGTCTTCCCGTTGTAGGGCTGTATGTGTTGCCCTCGGTATTTTTCCGGGATCCGGGCCGCCAGTACCCTTGGGGTAAATGGCGTCCGGGTCCGGAGCTGGATGACGGGTTCCCCGGAGCCCTCGGCCACCTTCTTCTGTAATTCCTCCATTTTGGCCATCATGGCCTCGTATTTGAGGTCTGAATGAGGGGTGGAGGTGGTGGCGTGAGCTTTGTTGGCCTCCATCTCGTCAAGCCGGCGTTGGAGGGCCGCAATAATTTCGTCCCGGGGATCCCTCGGGAGGGTCTCCGCCCCCTGCGAACGAACCCGGGCCGAGTGGGCCTGGTTGATTTGGTGGCGAGCATCATTGGCATGAAGGGGTGCCTTGCCTTTGTCCCGAGGGGGACGCTCCTCGTCTGCCCTCGAGACAGACCCTCCGTTTTCCTGGGGCCTTTGGAGTGCTTTCCCTCCGAGGCGGTCTTGGATCCCTCGGCGGTCTGGCCCTCCTCCGAGCCGGTTGAGGGCGGAAGTGCGGGGCCTTTCTCTGTTGTCATTGTGGCGGTCCCGGGACTGAACTTCCTGGGAGGACGTATCTTGGGCCACTACCCCTTCGTCATTCCTCACCCGAGGGGTGGGGTTTCCGAAAGGGTGTGGCAGAGGGGGGAGTATGATGTTCTCCCCAACCTGGGGTTGAGCCGGAGCCAGGGTGCCGAAGGTACCCGGGTTCTGAGTGAGCGTTTGGATGAAGGCGGAGAGCGCGGATTGCACGTCGATGGTGAGAACCGGAGGGCTGACTTGGTCATCGCTCCGGTTTTTCTTCTTGGCCTCGATGCCGAGGCGGGCATCGGGGGCATTCTGTTGGATCTGAAGGCGTAGGTCGACAGCCTCCTGTTCCAGCCCAGCGATGACACCGCCCTCGGGAGCCCTGTGAGAGGCTTCGGGGGCGTTGACGTCGCCGAGGGCCAGGTTCTTGTCATCTACGTTTTTGGAGTTGGCACGTGTTGTTCTCACCATTTTGGTAGAGGGCTAGTGTTTGGCGAAGGGGGATGGTTTCTTACTCGATTGTTCGACCTCTCAACGAGAGCACCAAATGATGGATAGTCTACCCGGGGGTATATATCCGAGGGGTTATTACGGGGAGTAATAAGAGAGAAGTCAGAGCAAGCGAATGTAGAGAGAGAAAGTATATTATAAGTGTGGAGCGTTTTCAGCGTGGTTACAAATGGGGAAATGGGGTGCTATTTATAGTAGCAATAAATGCCGGACAGGGACACATGTCAAGCGCCCATTGGCCGAGGGGTCACCTCAACTGGTTGGCGTTGGCAGCCGCATGTGGCCGCATTTAATGCGGCTGTTGGATGGGACGTTTGTACAGGGTACGGCGATCTGTACGCATGTGAGGCGGATATCATGTCGGGAGAGGTGCCCTCGGCTGCAGAGGACTAGCCGAGGGCTCTTAGTGCCGAGGACCCCTGAGTGCCGAGGGCTCCAGGTGCCGAGGGCTACTGTTTTCTGCCGTTTTTCTCCCAGTTTCTTAGTTTGCTTGGAAAACCCGTTCTGTGAGAGTTTAAAGCCTTCGGCCAGGGGGGGCGAAGGCGCCCTAAGTGCGCTTTGCGGGCTGCTTGGTACTCTGGGCGTTGTGACTTGGGCCTGTTGGGCCTTTTGGGTCTGTTGGGCCTTCACTGGAGTAGTAGGAGTCTGTGGGCCGGGTGTTCCCGGGCCATATACTCCATCAAATGGTAAGAGTATTTGTGGAATAAAACTCCACACATAAAGGAAACTTATAAGGATCAGATTCTATCAACTTAAGGTCAAGGTAAAATCTAAAACTGGACTCATCATTAATTTTAATAGGATGAGGGGAACCTTCAACAAAATAGGACAGTATGAATTTATGATGGGATCTATACTGAAGAAGCATCTCCGTAAACATTGCAATAAACGAATCATATGTTGCAAGAGAGCGGACATGAATAGCATACGTATCGGTATAATTAAACGTAAAGTCAGAAGACCAGCTACCATCCAACTTCAGCATAACAAATACAACAACATCCATCAAACTGAAAATACATATATACACAAGGAGAAAAAAGTAAGCACAAGACAGAGAAAACATGGCAATCAATATATAAAAATGACAACGATAAAAAAACAATAAAAATATGCCAATAACTAAACATAAACAAACATAAAACCTCATTCAGTGGACATTACAATTCAGAAAATAAACACACATGAAAACAATGGCAACGACAAAACAACAGAACAATAAAGAATCACACATAAAAAACGCACAAGAAATTATCGAATTCAACTAAAAAAGACCACGAAATCAGCCCTTGATCACATCGAAAAAGAAATAACAAAAACTAAGCGTAATACATGAACAATTACAAATTAACGATTGAATTAAGATTAAATATAAAAAAATAAACGATTGAATTACGTACGTAGAAATTTGAGGTCCAATTGAACAACGACGAACAGTGAAGAAAAAAAAGAGAAGTAATCGATTTTAGTGCGCCAAGGAGAAGAGAGAAATAACTTCCTAAAACGAAAACGAAAAAAACGGAAACGGAGAAGGTAGTTAATCGAATGACTGAGGAACGATCATTAAACATTTATTAAACAGGGGTATAATAGACATTTGACAAACACACGAAAATAATAATAATAGGACTAAGAGAGTCCTAAATAGAGAAATATTAAGGAGTTTACTAATTATTTAAGTCCCAGCAAAAATAATAATTTAAGGATGAATTAATCATGTTTGTTGCCTACTTAATTAAATGGAGTAAACTAATGTGTGGTTGTATTTTTTCTTCTAAAATAAACGAAGACATTATTGCTTCTATCTCGATAGTTTGACCATTTCCAGTGAAGCAATTGACCAGCAACTCTAGCCAATATTGACTTTTTGAGTACCCACGTATGTCAACCATGACAATCTGCGGTGATTGATGATTGCCCAAATAATTCAACCCTTAGCTTCGTTCTTACCGAACAGCCTGGCGGATTACCGCTATAAAAACTGGAACGCTGCATGGTTTATCCAGACCATAAAAGAACAATATAATGGCTTTGCCACGTCACCTTCTTCTTCTTCTTCTCGGCGTCATCAGCAGCTTCTGTATTTTCACTACGGCGGAGGACCCTTCTGGTCTGTATTGCAATTCAGACAGTCAAAAGCCTGACGACCAAACACTTGCTAACATAAAAAATTTGATATCTAGTAGGTCGAAGCTGGTGGCGGGGGCATCTCGAGATGGCTACGCCGCCGCCTCGTCCGGCGAGTCCAACCGCACAGTGTACGGGCTGGCTCAGTGCAGATCAGACGTCAGCCAGAAAGACTGCTCCTCTTGTCTCCAAGAAGCCTCAAAGAAGATCCTTGAAAATTGTACGGACCGGGTCGACGCCCGGATTTGGTACGACTACTGCTTCATGAGGTACTTGCTATATACTCCTCCATCTTTCTTATTTAGTTAAATTAAATACCGGAGGTCGACGACCGGATTTAGCAAGGAACATGTAATACTACCTCCTTTCCTATTATAATTTTCAAATATGTTTGACACACAATTTAAGATAGTAAGTATTATGTTGTCGAGAGTTGTGCAGAAGAGAGAGAAATGTGTAAGAAATGTTGTGAACCACAAATTCTTTAGCAAAAAGAGAGTGAAAATTTTAATTGGAACGGACGAAAAAGGAAAGTTGTAAGTTAGTAAGAACGGAGGAAGTAACACTTTATTCATAAATTTTATTATAATACCGGAGTAATACGATAAAAAAATATTGTACTTAGTACACTTTAAGAAATTGAGCAATTTTTGTATTGAGCATTTTCCCATTTTTAAAAGTTTGGGTATATTTTAGTCCTATATTATGCAATTCCTATACATACATTATCTTATAGGTTAATTATAAACATAAGATTTTGAATTAAAATAGTCGTAGTTAATTTGGTTTGATTTAAAAGTCAACCTAGTAATTAGATGTGGGTGGAGGGAGTACATGAGACGGAGTAAATATTAAAAAGTTAGATGGTGAGTATAACAGTTTATCAAATAGGATATGTAGGAAAGTGCCTTATTGTTCACGAGTATGACCTTTGAGAAAAAACGTTCTTCAATTCATTAAGACTCATATTTTTATTTTCGTAATATGAATGATTATTATCATTTTTGGCGGTATCATACATTAAATATGATTATATATCTTTCAAATTTAGCAGAAATTTACTTTTTACATAACGTTTTTAAATTTTACCCGGTGGAAAATGTAATTTACTCATCTTGATCAAATTTGATGAGATTTAAAATAAGGTGACAACGCCGGCACCCATTTAAAAAACATGGTACTGTATCTATCATTCACTTGATTGATGCACATCACTATATTGTTTCTAATTTAGATTTAAATAATTTAATTACAACATTTTCGTTGATCCATATGGACAAAAGTATGATACCTCACGGGAAGTACAGAATCTACCCTAAAATAATTTGACATACGTAGTATATCTTAATTTACACTACCCAAATAACAGGTACAACACGGAGAAATTCTACGGCGATGTGGACACGGGTTTCACGGTTATATACGCGAACGTGGAAAATGTGACGGACCCGTTGAGCTTCAACAAAACATTGGGAAAACTAGAGGCCGACATTAGCAAACAGGCGACGGCGCCGAAAAACAAAGGGCTGGGGAAGGGGAAGGTGAAGCTTTCGGATTTTACGACGTTGTACGCGTTGGGGCAGTGCACGAGGGACTTGTCGCCGGCGAACTGCGCTCAGTGTCTGGCCATCGGCGTCGGCAATAACTTCCCCGGTTTCTGTAGCAATAAGAAGGGGTGCCGGGTTTTATACAGCAGTTGCTACCTCCGATATGAGCTCTATCCCTTTTACTTCCCCCTCGACAAGTCGGAAAACAATAATACCACACAATCTCGGAAATACTATTCGTCTGTGATTCATTAACCTTGAGAATGTTTATAGATTGGTTAGTTTTGGTCGATAATGGGAACAAATTAATTAAAATGGATTCATTTCCATGGGAACGAATAAGGCAAGAACGATCACTATATATATGTTGTCCGGTTTGATATTTCGTAGCTATACCATTAATGACATGCAATAATCTTCAATGCAATCACGTACTCTGATCTATCTATACATACATCATTTGTTCAATAATACTTCCTCAGTTCCATAAAAGTTGCAACATTGGAATTTCTACACTATTCACACACCTTACTTTGACTACGATTTTCTAATAATATATATAATAAAAATATTATGTATAAAATATTAATAAATTTGTATTAATGTAAATTTCCAATATATTAACTTTTTTTAATGTTTACTGATACGTAAATAAATATAATTACAGTCAAAGTTGTGCGTTGGCAAACGTGAAAGTCAAAGTGTTGCAACTTTTATGGAATGGATGATAGTATTATTAGTCTTGTTTTTTATAAGATTCATGCTAGCAGGAAGTATATCTCATCTTCACTTTGGAAGCCAATAAAGGCACAATATAATGTCATATACTTCCTCCGGTCCCAAATGAAATTCACGATTTCCTTTTTAGGTAAGTCCAAAATAAACTTCACACTTCTTCCCCCTTCCTTATTTGGCAAATTATCTACATCAAAACAGTTCAAAACAGTGTCAAACAGTGCCAAACAGTGTCACAATAGTGTACTTTACAGTAAAGTCAAATTTATTTCCTTATAATCCTTATTTCCCCAATCCCCACTAAATCACTGTTACGCCATACATATAATATATTATCTATATTCCGTATTATTACATATTTGTTCTCTTATGTTTCATTATTGGACTAGTAAAATTATTGTCTAGCTTCATTATTAGCTCCAACCATTCATTTTAATAATATCTATATCTATACGTCTTGCGTGAAGTAGTAGATATACGAAAAAGGGACTTTCCGTTGGTCTTTTCGGCAGAAGTTGTCACTTATGAGACACTCATTTGTTATCATCCGTGAGAGTACAACAATGGGAAAATGCAAAACTGGGATTATTATGTTTTTAGGACTTTTTTAGGACTAAAATATAGTGGTTTGACAAAATTAACCCTTCATATAAAACTCCAGTTTCCGTAGGGAGCCGCTCAACCATCCGGATAGTCTCTTGCTGACCTCGATCGCCAAGCTCTTCATAGCAGGTAATTCATTCATATCTCTTCTTCTTCTTCCTCCTTTTCTCATCTTCTTCCAGGTCTTCTGAATTTTAATTTTTTCAATTTCCTTCTTATCTCTTCTTCTTCTTCTTCTTTTCTTCCTTTTCTCATCTTCTTCTAGGTCCTCTATATTTTAATATATTTATGGATTTAAATTTTAATTTATTTAGCAATTTTGAACCTCAGAATGCAGATTCCCAGAAAATGCCATTTCTTGAATCTGAGAATGTCAAACTTATTGGTTATTTGAAAAAATGTCACTTTTATGGCAGTATGCTCATAAAGATAGCAATCTCAGTTTGTCATAAAATGACATTTTCGTATAAAAGATGACATTTTCTACTGTAAACAGATGACATTTTCACATAAAATATGACATTTTCTACTGTAAAAAGATGACATTTTCACATTGATAGTTGTGACATTTTCATAGGAAAGATGACATTTTTGAGGATACTTTCTCAAAAAATTCTCATTAGTCATACGTTTAGTCATAAGATCGTAAAGAAACTTAAGAAGACATATTTCAAGAATTTGTACAAGTTTTACTAGCTCATATGTATGTATTTTCCCCTTTTACTTATTTAAATTTATAACCTTATAATTCCAACTTAATTAATTAACATATATTTTATTGCTGGAGAGTAAAAATTGTAATAATTATCCCACTTTCTTGATTTATATGCCCAATTTTTTTGTGTCGTACTCTCAAAAAAAAATGTGTCGTAGTTCTTTTGGGGTGTAGGTAACTATGCATCTTTTATTACTCCCTCAGGTCCCTATTAAAGTTCTCATTTTACTTTTTGGGATATCCCTTATTTAAGTTCATACTTCCATTGTAGGAAACAAAAAAGTGTCAAACAGTGTCAAACAGTGTCCAAACAATGTCAAACAGTGTCAAACAGTGCACTCCACAGTAAAGTCGAATTTATTTTCTTAATCTGTGTGAAGTCAAACCGGGAACTTTAATAGGGACCGGCGGGAGTATTTTTACATTTTCACCATCGTACGATCCCGGCCGTCCTCTTCCGCAGTTCTGCTTATCACCGGCCATGCTCTTTCTTCTTGTTCTTACGGCGTCATGCTTATCAAGGTGAATCCATCATCGTTTCATCTTATAACCGGATCAGGCGCGGGGTTGGATTTAATTGCAAGAGTTTGCCACTTTGCCTTTGTGAATTTTTCAAATCATTTTCAGCATATATTATTATACTTATGGCATGTGGTCTGTGGAAGCCTGCCACACGCGCCCAATACAAATGTCAAACGCGAAGGCATGTGATATAATACAAATGATCCGTTCAATTTCAAAAAAATTCAGATCACAAACATTCAAATTAGACGAACATATATAATTAGTCGTATTGAAACGGTATATGTTGTACTTTTATTTGAGGAAACCGGTTATGTTGTACATCTGCTTAGCCAATTTCTTTTATAATACTTTTATTATTTTATTTAAATATGAAAACATTTAAGCTGTGATGTATTAATATTTGCTACCTCCGCTATGAAAAGATTCGCCATATTGAGTTTTCTTGGTTAATGATGGCGAACTTTGGACAATAAATTTAAATATTATATATGTATATAATTTGTAAATTTTATATTTTTATGAAAATATTTTGGATAAGGAACATTTTGATATAATTTTCATATTCAAATTAATTTCGTTTTAAAAAATATTATTAGTCAAAGTTGATTGTTCTCGACAAAGAAAAGACAATTTGGCGAATTTTTTCGGACGGAGGGAGTATAATTTTGAGATTATTCAAAACATGAATGGATACTCGATATTAAGCAATACTACTATACTCTCATAGTCCCATTTATAGTACTAAAGCGTTTCCTAGAGTACGAAAAAAGTTCATATATTTTACAAATATGAAAGGCTCACCTAAATTAAATAAATATGATTGACGTTTCTAAATAGGAGTTCATATTTGATATGCTCTAAATCTCTCTCTCTCACACACACATATATAAATCCTCTAAATAAGATTTAAAATTATGTTTAAACTCTTATTATAGTTAGTTGTCCCTCCTGGTTTCCAAGCATAATCAGGGCAATTGAATTCGATCGATGGCGGCGGCATCCGGTACGTGACGGCGGTCTGGCAATAGTCGAACAGCAACGACCTTCAGGTGACAAAACTTGAACCCATATAAGGTGTTTTACATGATAAGAAAATTACATGTATTAGCGCAGCTTATTAGGGAATTTTAAAGATTGACTTTTATTTTTATAGTTTAATTATTGCATTTGACTCTTACTTTGGGAGTGTTTGCAAATGCTTTTGTTTTAATAGTAATTGTTCTATATAGGACTAAAACAAGATTGAAATGTAAATATATTAGACTTGTTATGTTTTCTTCCGTTAATAAGACCAATTTACTCATATTTCTAAACATACGAAAATTGACATCTCAATTTTGCCCCTCCACCCATTTACCCTCCCTTTTCTCCTTTTCCCTTTGTAATCCATCGATTCCTTCTCCACCAAAGCAGAGTTAAGTGCATCTCATCATCTCCGAGTACATCTGCGGATTTCATGGCACAACGTTGACTACTCAACCGCTTCGCTTGCGTCGCCTATGATTCACTGCCTTCACCTCTGTTTCACTCCCTTCGCCTTCCACCTTCATCATGTTTAATTTTCTCCGAATTTTCAGGTTTTTTGCTTTCTTTTTCTTCTTCTTCACCTCCTCCTCCTTCTCATTCTTCTTCATATTTCTATTCTTCTGTTTCTGTATTTTGGCATGGATTTTGCCAATTTTCAAGCTTCAATTTTCGTATTTTTGACTTATGATTTTCTTACTTTTTTAAAAAAATTGATTTTCCAGATTTTTGGATGATGGCATATGATTTTGCCAAGTTATTGGCAGAAATGTACATTGGTAATCGTATCATGGAAAAAAAGTTATATATAAATTGTTGTTTTTTGTTTTTTTATTAACTTCATATTTGTAATTTCCAAGTATGTTAGAGTGTTTATTCCATTAAAAATTGGATTTTTTCGAAAATTTGGTTATTCATTTCACGTTTTTGCCAAATTTATGGCAGTTTTGTGTAGCCCTTCCAAGATAAATCTGTCAGACCTCTGGCAGATCTAAAATCCTTGTAATGGCAGTTTTCAAATTGATCTTCAAGGTTAAATATGCCAATTCTATGGCAGATTTTTGTGCAAGAGTTGTGATGGCGGCAGTGCTCGTAAGTGGAGTGGTGGCCCTGAAGTTGACATTGGTGGTGGTCGGAGGACGGTGGTGATGGCGGCGGATGGTGACACCAACGTGGGAGGTGAGACAGGCGGTGAGGGTGGAGGCATATACCGCCGGCGAGACAAGCAGCAGACGATGACGAGGGCGGTGGCGGGCGCCACCACAGAGGGCGATGGCAGGCGCCACCACCAAGGGCGGTGGCGGGCGACTGTGTCGGGCGGCGCCAACTAGGGTGGCGGCGGGTGGCAACATCGTCGAGGGTGGTTGAACTACTATATGAAATTTTAGGGTTTCAACAAATTGTAATTTTACATTTTTAAATTTAAATTCAAATAAAAACTGAATGGGGGCATTTTTGTACAAATAAGTGATTTAGGTCCTACGAAACATAGATTTGTTTTTTAGTCCTATTTGTGCACACAGAACCTCTTTTAGTCCTAAACAGGTAATTAACTCTTGCTTTAAACAAAGCACTTTTTAAAGTGAATCTAGTAAAAATGATTAATAGTGAAAATTGGTAGTGTTTGTGAAAAAAGTGCTTCTGAAAAAGTAAAAGTTGGTAGTTTTTGGTAAAATATGTGCTTTTTGTGTAATAGAAAAACTAAAACCGGATTCTAGCTTTTAGCTTTTAAATGTTTAATTTAAGAAAAAATTATCACTTGAAAACACTATTTTCAGTTTACATTAGAAAGGAGCAGTATACTTATTTGATAGTATAACACTTGAAAACACTATTTTTGTCTCAAATTGATTTGCAAATTTGAGAAGTCTTATCAAATA